TGCACGAACCAGCAGCACAACCTTCTGTGGATGAGGCATCTGTTTTGGTGTCAGATCTGCATTCCTGGCCCTGTGACCTTGGGGATTATAGCTCATTGGATCGTGATGAGGATTAAATGAGGAAACCTAAGAAAAAGTGCCAAATTCCTCACCTGTCGCCTGGCGTTAAGTGGAGGCTCAGCTAGTGTTGGAGGTCCCTTTCCTTCTTTCTGGGGCTCCTGGTAAATGCTCAGTAGTGAATTTTCTCACCCTCCTTTGGTTGGAAGAGGAAAAAAAAAAAAAAAACCCTCCCTGCTTAATCATGTGGGACTAAACTACCAGAAGATTATAAGAACATTGCTGAGCCATGAGGAGCTGGGGGTGGAGGTGGGGGGCTCAGTAATGATCTGCCTGCTTATTTTTAATAAAATCCTGCCAGCAGAGCCGAATCTTTGCCCTGGGCAAATGCTCCGCTTTGCAGCAACGGTGTTGGTGAGCTGTTAGAAGACAGGGTGACCTTGAGGACTGAGCTGGGCAGGGAGGAGGGTTTCTGCAGCTGTTGGAGGCGGGAGATCGCAGGAGTGGCTCCTGCCTCGCTCACCTGCCCACCTGTCCTGGTGGAATGCCAAGTGCCACCCCTTCCTAGGCCCCCCTTGGCTATGGCCACTGTTGGTGCCTGCTCAGGTGACTGCTCTGCCTATCCTGCTAACCCCCATGAAAAGACAGGGAGTGGACAGGCCAGTGGATGTGCAAGGTGTCTATTTTAAGTTTCTAGCACCTTCTACCCAGGACAATTGCTGAAGGCAAGAATGGGGTAAGGAAGAAGTCCCGCCTCTAAGAGGAAGAGGAGTTTGACACAGAGCAGCCCCTTGATCTGTTCTGCTCCTTGATGAGAGGCCATGACAGGGCTCGGCAGAGGTGGACCAGAGGAGTGCTTTTCAATAATCTCTGCCCAGGTCTAGGAAGTGTCCCAGAGACCGGCAGCCAAGGACACCTTTCCTTGCACTTCATGTCCAAATGTTGCCCATGTTTTGCTCAAAAGAGCTGGTCAGTCCCCTGCAAACTGGTCAGCCTAGGAGCCTCAGAGTTCAAGGTCAAGGCAGAGGCCCTGAAGTCCCAGACTTGCTCAAGGTGGGGGCTGAGGCAGGACCCCCCAATCAGAAGTGCATATGTGTGCCCCAGAGGGCCATGGAAGGCTGGGAAGGAGGAGAAGGTGGGCTGAGCACATCTCAAACTATCCCCAAGCAGAGGGACTGGTTTGGGGGAGGGGCCAGTCCATCTCTCCTGGATGTAGGGGATGGATGGGGGGTAGGGGGTGACCAGGGCACATCTGTGGGCCTCAAAGGCTCCATTCTAACTAGCAGTGCACTTTGGAGAGGAGGAGGACGGGCTGGGTTGGTGGGTGAAGTGCAGATGGGAGAGCCTCAGGGGACCTTGGGCACAGTGTAATGTCATTTGGGGAGATCTAAATAGCCAAGCCACGCTGACAGTTTGAGACAGGGTTCTGAGCTACATTGTCCTGGCTGTGTGGAGAGTGGAGAGCGACCTCGGAGGGAGAAGAAGAAAGTTTCTGCTCTTAGAAACAGGAAACAGGCCTGTGGAGTAGTGTGAAGCAAGAAGGAGCCACTCTGTGCTGGGTCTCCCCTATTTACACTGCTCACTCTCACTTCCTGAACCCTCCAGGGTGCCTCAGTTCCTAGTTTCTGACCAGTCCCAAGAAAAAGAAGCCTTGGCTTAATTGGGGCCGTTCCTGGAGCTCCATGACATTCATAGTGGTGGCAGTAATGGACCTTCAGGGTTCTGAAACCCAGCCTGGCCACGGATGCCTGGCCGGGAGCATCCCAGCCCCTCTCAGCTCTGACCCTGCTCCAGTGGCTGTCAGTGTACTTCCCCTGCTATAAACTGAGGATGCCTCAAGTACCTGCTCAGAGCTGAGGGCAGCTAGAAGGTGCCTAGAAGAGGTGGCTTAACCCCCAGCTACATGTGTCCAGGGGGCAGGGGCCACGTCTCTTCTATGTGTTGCTGCCGTGTAAGTCTGTGTCTGGCACGGTGCCTAGCGTGTAGCTGGAACATGCTCCATAAAGACTGGGTTCACATGTCACATGTTGCAGATGCCCATACATATCGACACTGGCCAGGACCAAAGTTCCTCCTGCGTAGTCCCAGTAAACAACTTTTCTCCTTCACTCAAACTTGATCCTGCCAGCCGGTACTAATCCATAGCTGCCGTCACAAGAATGGGCTGCTCAGCATTAGAGGGGATTGCAGGGATTTAAAATTCTCGACAACTCCATGAACTTCCTGTTTCTTTAGTGGCTTTGGGGGATTCCACTGACCGTCCTGTCTCCCTACTCACTTACTCCAGGGAAGAACCTCTGTGGGGAGAAGGAGCATCCCACCTGTCTCCCCACCTGGCTCCCTGAAGCTCACTCTTTTTCCCTGGGGTGTGAGATTCCGGTGTCACTGCCTAGGGGACTTGCCTTGGGCCCTGGGATCCTGATGAGGTGGGAACTTTCCACTGCCTCTCATAAGGGAGGATACTATGCTTTTTCTGTTTCTCCCTGCCCCTCGCTAGCTCAGGGATGCTCCACTTTTCTAAAACTCGGTGGGCCCCTTAGTAGTTCCCAGCCAGCTCCACCTGTGGCCTCAGGGACGATGCCCAATGTGTGTGAAGCCCCCCACTTCTCACCTTCTTGTAAAATTGAAGGGAATATTTAAAGCCATTTTTGGAAAGCTCTTTCTAGCCAAATTTCTGTCAGAAGTTCCCAGGGCCATTTCTGGGGGAAATGGGAAGAGCTTTGGGGTGCATTACTGCGCATCCCAGAGATGTTCTTCCAGAAGTATGGCCATTCTGACCCCAGCTGGTATCTGGTAACTCATTTCTGACAATAGCGACCCAGTGTTGGCCTCAGACTCTAAGGACCCAAATCTCTAGAACTGCCCTCACTTCAGTCACCAAATGAGGTTCCCAAAACATCTATGCTTTTGACCAAGGAACTACAAATTCAGGGTTTTCCCAGTACCCCTCAGGTTCAATAATTTGCTGAACAACAAAGGACTCAGGATGGCACTCTACTTATGATTACAGTTTTATTAAAGGCTATAAATCAAGACCAACCAAATAAAAGAGCACAGAGGGCAAGGTCTGAGAGTGTCCCTAATGCAGAGACTCAGAACCTGTCACCCCCACCTCCACCCCAGGCACACGGTGCACCCACCAATAAGGAAGTGCCACAGGGCTGTCCAGAGTTTCACTGGGTTTTATTGTGTAGGCATGATTGACTGAGCACTGGCCATGGCATTGAAGTCAGTCACCAGCCTCTCTCCCTTCCCTAGAGGTAGGACTGGCTCCAGTTCCCAACTCCTGATCACAGGGTTAACAGTCCTACCCTGAGGTCCTCCAGGGCCACTTATCAGTCACCTCATTAGCATCAACTCCTGGGATGGAAGTGGGGCCAGGAATAAAAAACGACACTCTTATTACTCAGGGAATTCCAAGCCTTTTGAGTCTCTTCTCAGGAACCAGGGATAAAGACAAGTCAAATTCTTTATCAAACAACAATGGTGGTTGTATGCCCCCCACACCCCCACCATCATTATAGTCTGGAAACTGCCTCAGCTATTCAGTTCCCTGCCATTTTTAAGCATTTCCTATGTGCTTTGTACTTCTGATGTCTGTGGTATTATTATATCAATTTTTAAAATGAGGTCCTCAAGGTGTCACCTTAAGGTGACAGAAAGTATTCAGATAAGATTTGGACTCAAATAACCAATTCTGGGCAAAGTTCAGTCTTCCAAACACAAGCCTATCACATGCTTCTTCTGGCCAGAGACCGCTGTCTTTCCCTGGGCAAGTCCTGACCATTGAGAGATGATGGGACTCATCTGTTACACTCCTGAGGCTTCAAAACTGGGGCCCTGTTGGGTTGCCCCGCTCCATCATGGCGATGGCCATCCCTGCCCTGCCTATGGAAGCCCTGCTGGGACATGGGCGGTGCAGAGTGGAGAGCTCTTGGCTACACTCCCTTGCTTTCCCCATCAGGGTTACCTGCAGGGTTACCACAGAAAGGGCCCTGTGCCAGCTCAGCCAGGCTGGTGCCCTCTGAGCCTCCCAGGACCAGGACAGAGCCATGGTGGGACAGTATGGGGAAGTAGTCCATGCAGGGCTTGAGCTAACAAATGTCCCTTTACCACGCTTCTTCCCCTCCCAGATGGCTAAAAATGCAGCAGTTGGCATTTCTGCCACTGCCAGGCCCCAGGGCACCTGCTTAGGGTTAGGTCAAAAGCCAAACCCTGTGGTTTGGGAAATTAGCCACATTTGTGGGACTCTCGGGAGACACCCCGGCTTCTCTCGGCCCTACCTGCATGCTCAGTTGGGATGTCACCACCGGCGTTTGCACTTGCAGATGTGTGGGTGAGTCTGCACTTGTCACAGTGCCTGGGGATCCATCCTCTTGGCATTTGCCTATCAGGGTCCAGGGATGCCAGAGATCCTTCGCTGAGCTGGATGGTCAGGCACATGCTAGGGAGGAAGACCCTGGGAAATGGCCCACTGCCCCTGGTCTCTGGAAAGCCCTCTTTCCCACCGACACCCAGGCTGAATGAGTGGGAACGAAAGAGCAGGATTCCATGACCTCTGACCAGCCACAAGGTGAGAAGTGCAGGTGGACACAGGCAGGTGTAAGGAGAGGCTTGTTTGTTCCACTTGCTCTGATTCTTTGGATATTGCATCATTCGGGCCCTCTGGGTCAAGGAAACCTGGGTCTGGGTAGTGGGAATTCATGGTGCACTGGGTGGCCTCTTTGCCTGGCAGGAACTGCCCTGCAGCCCCACCTGTCATAAACACTTGCCACCCCACCTCAAGGTCCCTCCCTGAGACCAGCCTCCCACTTCGGTGTGTCTGCAACTCAGCGTCCCCTCTGGGCTTTTTGACTTGTGACCTGTTTTGTACGATGAGTTTGAAGACCTTGGCTGCTCGGCTCTGCTTATGGCTGAACAATTCTCTTCTTGTTGTTTTGCAGTCGGAAAGACGTCTCTGATCACGAGGTTCATGTATGACAGCTTCGACAACACATACCAGGTGAGGTCCTGGAGGCCTGCCTCCACCCCGCCCACCCCTCATCGGTGTCTGTGGCCGAGTGACCACAGCCAGCCTCTCTCCAGGGCTTGCTGAGCTGAGATCAGAGTGGGATGGCCCCAGGTTCCTGGGGTATCTGTTTGCTTTGGAGGAGCTTCCCCGCTGGGTATTGGTCCCCAGCCTAGTAAAGACTTTTCTGAAAAGTCTAGATCTCAGAAAGGAAATGTTTTCCAGAGAGAAATCTTAAACACAGAGAGGGGACACATTTCAATCTGGGTGCTCTCAGCCTTCACAGACAGACTGAGCCATTACAGTGTCTGGATACTTAAAGGGGCAGTCAGGTGGAAGAGGAGCCAGCCAAAATATGGGAGGGGTGGAATGTGGAGCTTTAGGAGAGTTTGCTCCTCCTTGTGTGGTTGTGTTTTCTGGGGCCTTCCATGCACACACTCCGGACCTCTCACACATACGTGCACATACTACCACCCCTAGACCTCTCCTGCACATTTAGCCTTTCACATACACCTTCTCTCACACACCACCTTAATACACACACATGCATATGCACACACATACATTCACTGCAACACACACACACACACACACACACCATTGCTAAAGCCCTTCCTTTCTGGAAAGGCTTGTGTGGTGGCCCTGCCCCGCCCTATGTGGGCAGAAGGTTGAATGGCATGACCTCTGGGGCTCTTGGCTCTGGAATGGTGTTCTGAGGTCAACCACAGGCTGACAGGTGGCTCAAAAGCTGAGCAATTGAGGATAGTAGTAGTAGTAACCTTGCCTAGCATCCCTGGTGAGAAGAGGTTTGCACAAGTGGTTCTCTTGCAACCACAGCTTTTTGCAAAAGGCATCAAACTTAATCATTTATGCTATTTTTAGGCTGGGGGGACACTGTTTTCTTCCTTAGGATAGAAACAAATAGTAATGCATTTCTCTAAGCTAATGGGCTTTGTGGGATACTAATTCCAAGAAATGTTAGTAGGTGTTACTTGGGAAAAAACAAGGAGGGTGGTGGTCAGAGCTTGTGTGGAGCTGGGAACTCCAGGGAGCAGGAGTGACTGCCTGCTGCAGGACTTCTCAAGATCTTTCCTTCCTCAGTGTGTGCTTTGATTTGCTGAAAGCAAATGTGAGTAGGTGTTTGATCATGGAATCCCTTTATCATCGAGTTCTCAAGGACAAATATCTATAGACTCACGGGGGACTGCTGTTCTAAGAATGTCCTTCCCTATTGCTGACCTTACAGAGGGTGCAGAGTAGTTCTGTGCTGCTTTTTAGGCTGCCTGTCCCTCTGGACCAGTCCTTCTTGCCTCAGATACCCTCAGAGAGACCCCGTCTGCCTCCCTATTTACTTGTGTTCTGCTGTGGTCTGAGACACTGGATCACCATGGACCAAGTAGAAATTGACCTTGGTGAAGAACAGGAAGGTTGGGGAAAGAGGTCCTGAGTGACACACAGCCCTAGGCCAGGGCTTTGGTCTTGGCCCCATAGTCACATCCTCCCTGGGGCAGGGCTTTTTACCCCATGGGCTCCCAGGATTCTCTCTGGTTCATAAGGGGGCTTCTCCTGCATCAGAGGGGATACCCTATCTAACAGGCTCCTTCAAAGTCTGACTTGGTACTGTGTGTGCATGTGCACACATATTTGTATGATCTCATATATTGTTGTATATTTTTAATATTAAGTTACTTAGCATACCTCCTGTTAGCATCCCATTGAGAACAATGAGATTTGGGTCTGCTTGGTGTTTTGGGCAGTGGTGGGCAGAACTTCTGCGCTCTTACCCCAGGCTCTGTCTCCAGGCCACCCCATTACTTTCTTGTACCCATTATTGTCAAGTATCTATAGTTGGGCAGCCCACTACCTGCAGCTCAGTGGCCTCTCTGCTTGACACTCCCTGACAGTGGCACTGTCACCCCCCCACACACACACACCATGGCTGTCACTGCTAAAATGCTCTTTCCACTCCCTTCCTGTCCGCTGTGAGTGTTCTGACTCACGTGGCTGAGAGCAAATGCTTGCTGGGCAGCGAGGCTTGCCATGCTCCGCTTGCCACCCTGACCCTACTTGTCCCATGGCTAACTCAACCTCCTGACTCTAGGGCGGCTCCTCTGTGCTTCCGGCCTGGTGGAAGCCAGGATGCCCTTGGAGCACCACTGTATTGCCAGGCCCAGGAGAGGGCCTGGCCATAGATGGTGTCACAGATGCCAGGGGCACAGAGCTGGCTTGAAGAGACGCTTCCTGTCTGGGTTTTTAGACCTCATCAGACTGAGAGGCCCTGAGGCCTCACTCAATGTCAGGGCAAGAAAGACAAGAGAAATCCCAGGGCGACAACCGCCCTCTCCATTGTAGGGCTTTCTGACTTATTGTTTTTCTCTGGCGCAGGTGGAATCCTTTCCTAACATCCTTTAAAATGGTAATTAGGCTGGGAAGCTGGGCCCCAGCTCTGCACACACAGGCTGGTTTTAATGAATCCTCCGGAGATGGGAGAGGCCTGTTATTTTATTTTGTTTGTCTCAGTGTGGTAGCGGAGGTGTATGGGAAGTAGACAGGACCCCCAAGGGCTTTGGGGGATGAACTTAACCTCCTCCCAATTTGTGCCCCCGAATGGTGACACCCCCATCATCCCCCACAACAACAGTCCCTGATTGTGCTCCTCTGAGTCTCCTGCCTCTTCTAGACCATGGGCTCCCTGCGGTGGCCACAGAGCTCCCCTACCCCACCTCTGGGCACTGACTGGCCTCTCATCAGACAAATTGCACCTCCTCTACAAGGTGGGGTCACGCACATGCATACATGCAGACGCACACACATGTGCACACATGGACACCCAGCACCTGGGTCCTGACATCTGGTGGCCCTCCCTAAATACTGCTTCTTCGGTCTGCATACCTTCCTGCCTCCAGCCAGTGGCTGCAGCGAATCCTCCTTGTCTCCCCACCTGCTCCCAGCCTCCTCTCCGGGAAGCATCCATCCCCACCTTGTCTGCAACTCCTCACACCCAAGGGACCCCGCCACTAGCCCGATTCACCCAGCACTCTTCACGCTGAGGTGCTAATGTGGAAGGGGAGGGTGAGCAGGATGGTACCCGGGTGACGGCGGTGGTGTCTGTGGTGAGCACTGTGACTACTCAGGGGCAGCTCACGCCTGCCCTGGGCGGCTGAGTGGCCCTGTCCCTGGCTTTCATCATTGCACCTGCCTGGGTTCTGGCTCCTAGCAGATCTGCAGCTGGACATGGCCCTGGATGTGGATCCCAGGTTACCCTGAAAGAACATCAGTGATGTCAACACAAAGAAGATGGAGTCCAAATGAATAAGGGTCCAGCAACCAAGATATTTGAAAGTGGCTTCTTGGGGCCACCTGTGAGAGGCTGGGGAGAACGTGGACTCCAAACACCCTAAGAACTGATGAGTTTCCTGGAACAGAATGTAGAGAAGGGGTGAAATGCCACTCGAGAGGCCTTGATAGAACCCGAGATACTAGCTGTTTGCATGTGATGTCCAGGTAATCACCCCAGCACCCTGGGGAGACAGCAACAGGACCTTACCACATTCCAGGAAGTCAGAGTGAGGGGCACACAAAGGAAAAGGACTCAGCGTGTCCCTTGACACACTCTAGCTCTTTTGTCTCCTTTAAAAGGAGGCATTCAGGCCCTGAGTTCACTCTCCGGCATCATGCACGCAAGGAGGCCAACAGAGGAGGCCCGGGTTCCAATCCCAGGTCTGTCACGAAACTGGGAGTCTCTGGCCAAGCCCTTCAGTTTCTTAGAATTGCATTTTTTAACCTGGAAATTGAGTGGCCTTTTACCTCCACATCACCCAGACCAGTGGCCTCAAAACTGTAAAAATAGGACTGTGGTTATTTTATTTGTGCAATACTAGGGATTGAACCCAGAGCCTTGCACGGGCAAGGCAAGTGCTCTAACACCAAGTTACATCCATAACGGGAATATGGTTAATTTGTATTTAAAGCATAGCTCACGTAGTCTAGATGATGGAACGGTATGGGCCAAAGTGCTCTCAATACAAATGTGCATTATTATATGTTATGGAAAAGCCAAAACAAAAATAACTGCAACTCCAAAACAAACTAAGTTGATAGTGATGGAGTGAAACTAACAATAACTTGCCTGTTGTGTCCGAAATGCATGTGTGTCGCAATCTTACATGTGCAGTTGTACAATGCTTTGCAGCTCTCCCAGATGTGCTTGATCCCTGGCAACATGGCGATCTTACTCTGTGAGGGCAGTAGAAGGTCCTGTCCCTGTCTCCGCCAGGTGCTGATGTCAAAATGTGAGGCACCATTCTTATATAGTGAAATTGAAATGCCAGTCACTGGGGGAAGATGACCCCGCCTCAGAGACCCACTTGGGCCCTGCCAGCCATCCAGGTGCTCCTCTGGACATTGACCTGGGACTGCTCTCTAGGCCGCCTTGCCCAGGCTCCAACATCCTTCCTTTCCCTCCCTCTTCTCCTCTGCCTTTCCTTCCCTTTTATCAGTCATTATAAGTAGGAACGTGGGTCACCCTTTAATTCAGAAAGGTGGCTGTGGCTTCCACAAGGAAAGGCTTTCTGGGTGCAGAAGTCGTGGTGGAATTTGGTCGGCACCTTGTGTGGTGATGCTGTTGGGCCCTGGGGCTCTCACTCTGATCCTGCTCCATCTCCTTGGCACGTGGGCTCCCATCTTCCTGCAGACTGGCGGCTGCTGCTTCAGACCTCATGTCCATATTAAGGGCAGAAAAAGAAAGCAAGAATTTTGCTGGAATCTCTCCTCAGGCCGACTGCTGCTTCTGTCTTAATGGCCAGAATCAGGTCACAGGAGCACCCTTAGCCTCTAGAGAGGCTGGGAGACAGCAGAGTTTGGTTTTAGAGTCTCTAAGGCAGAGGGCATAGGACATTGCCAGGGGCACCAGCTGATGCATTTGAGGAGCTAAATGGACCCATGATGCGATCCTCTGTCCCAGATATCACCCAGCCTTCCTAATTCGGTGTGCA